CATGCATGAATGCTAATGTTGTGGCCAGACATAATATCCATTTTTCAAGGAGCGGCGAGAGCTTTGAGGTCGCGGTTGTACCGTCTTGCTGATCCAACCAAGTCTCTAGGTCTGCCTGCGCCAGCGGCTCCAGAACGATAGAATACTGCTGCTTCTCTTGGTACGTACAGTAGATACTGACAATATGCGGATGGCGCATAGATTTGATGACAGCGATTTCGTTCTCTATCATTTCGCGGAGTTGCCGCTCACTACTGCGGCGTAAAAACATGGACTTCCTTGCGTATTGGTTGCCGTATAATTCAACGCTCTCAACTTCGGCGAATGCACCTCTACCAATTCTGTCTATACGGACGAAGGGTGCTGGCTTTACGATCTGGGTACCGGGTAGTGTTCCAAACTCGAAATGAGTCAGACCATGTTGTGCAAGTCTCTTTTGAAAAGCGCTCGTGACAGCAACTCGCCCGTCATTGTGAGCTTGAAGCAACGTCTCAGCCCCAAAGAATACATGTTGGGAGAATTCTTGGGCCTTGGACTCGTGACCTTGAATATGGGAGAGATAAATAGCAGTATCCATGTCGCACAAAAGCATCATTGTTTTGTTCATCGTGAAAGTGTCTTGAACCACCCTCTCCATTCGCAACGCAGCTTGATCAGGACGACCAAGTCTGGCTTCGCAGGCGGCAATCGCTCTTTCAAGACGTAAAGTCCTCTTAGCTTGATATTCAACCGAGGTATCTCTTGTTCGGTGCAATCGGGGATCGGCAAGCAACGCAGCAATGATATTCTCTGCTAAAGAAAAGATTTCTAGATCGGCCCAGCTTAGGAAGTCCGTTATAGTCCATAATTCCATGTGCTCGTACGCAATTGACTGCAGGGTGTTGTAGGTAATACAGTGACGGAAAAGACTGAGAGAGTCCCGCTGGGGCTGTGAAAGCGTGCATTGTTGGAGAATATGGTAGCTTTCCAACGTGTGTGGGTGCTCCCTGCCTAACCGATAGCAACGGCCTAAACAAGCCTCTAGAAGTAGGACTGAAGCGGCTTGCTCCTTGCCAATGGAAAGTAAATGTGCACCATAAGTGTGGAAGACCCTGAGTGTGGTGTAATGCCAGTTTCCTAGAGTTATAGAGCTTAGAACCAGGGCATGGCAGAACTGATAACTAGCTTCCTCAAGCTTCCCCATCCCAGCGTACGCGCGAGCTCGATTGAGCACGATGCTTGTGGATAAGATGTGCGGAAGATTGGTTCCAAAACGGATATCGAGGGTTTCGAGTACTGTTGAAGCATCTTGGAAACGACCACTTATGTTGAGTATTAGGCTCAAAGTATCCAATGTGAACGGCAAGTAATCCCTGGGTTGAAGTCCAGCTTGGAAGTTTTGAGGGACGTCGTTTTCGCTCATAGTTTGGAGAAGGCTATGGCATAATTCTTCGGCATGTCCCAGGAGCCGCTCGTTGTCAGCTAGAAACCGGGCAAAGTCACTAGCGATCCGGACGCGGAGAAGATTCTTTGGAGATAGTGTTCGGCTCGTGATCATAGCGGCCTTGTAAGCTTGTTCAGAATTTTCATAGTGACCCAGGCTTTGGTAGACACGTGCGAGAAGGTGCCAATCCGTGAAATCATCACTAAGGAGCTGAGGGGAGGCTTGCTTCTTCATTCGTAGGATTTCCACTAGGGATTTGCGTACTCTGTTTAACTCGGCAGTCACGTGCTCTGCATCTTTCAGATAGTCCGTAGTCAGGGAAGCACGTTGCTCGATCTCAAGCAAAGCGAGGGCATCATGATGAGTGTTCGCTCGATCGATTGCCCTTTGCTCTTCCTCGGAAACTTCGGTCTGGCGAGATAGCCATTGGATGGACTCCTCGTGGAGTGAACGAAGCCTCGAAAGCATCACACCGCGTCGCTGGGGATAAACATGGTATCGCTGGATGCCTTGAGAAATGGAGCCTCAGAGATCGTCCTATATGCTAGAGCATGAGGCTGGGTGCTGATGCCTTAGTATTAACAAGCGTTCATGGCCGGGGCACTAAGATGCATTTACACACCTTCTCTAACAAACTGCACAATCCCGTACATGAACTGATGCTTTCGTCGCAGCTGAAGCCGCATCAACAGAATATTTAGAGTGGCGATTCACATGGATCTCAGCTGAAACTCTACGAAGTACGGATTGCGCAGTGGGGCGTTACGGCGTACCGTTCGTATAGAATAACAAGCTCCAATGCAGTATAGTATGCCGTACTACCTCTTCTCGAAACAGAACGTCGCTTCAATTCTCAAAGCATCACGACAATTGTTCGCCCTGCCATGACCAACGAAGCTCCGGACCCGCGGTCCTTCAATACGTGGGAAGATGCATTCCAATTTCCTGTCCCCGTCATCCGCAAGCTGGAGCTGCAGCTCCGCGCCAACGCCAATGAGAACCGCGAGAAGCTCCGGACTTTGGTGGGGTATGTTCAAGTCGACATGTAAACACAATGACCCATTGCTAACAGATTCCTATAGAGCGAGTTATCGCGACCTCCTCGGTACGGCGGAGCGAATAGTTGAAATGGAAGAGCACATGCAACAGGTCGAGACAACTCTTGGGAAAGTTGGACAGAAGTGCAACTCGCGCGCTGTGGATCGCATTGCAAACAATTACTCAAGATTGGATAGACAATGGAGGGCTCGCGGTTGGTCTCTCCGCTATAAACACGATCTAAGAGGGCTGGTGGAGTTGACACGAATACACAGACCAGGACAGATACGCCTTCGCGTCACAAATGGCCGTTCTCCAAAGCTGTCCGAATGTAATGACTCGGTTATTGAAGAAGAAGGGCTCGTCCCTACTCATTGCCAAAATCCTTGTCATGTCCCGATTGCTACACAAATCTCTCTCCCAATCGACGAATAAACCTCCATACGTGGACCAGATTCGAGATCAACTAGCATCCTTGCGCGGACGGCTATTACGTCGAATCGACAAGCAACTGTCGAGCCCCGCGGCTGATATCTCTATACTTGTTGAAAATATGTGCGCATTCGCTCTAGCCACAAGTTCCACCCCGACAGATGTTTTACGGCATTTCCACGGCGTCCGAAAGGATGCTATTGCCGATTCATTCGAGCATGAAGAAAATGTTCAAGGTTTTATCTTGAAGGCATTGAAACTCTGCGTGAAAACGCTACAGGACACTCAGGCCATCTTCCCGCGGCGACTGGCAGATTCGTTGGCAAAGCTCAAATTACAGCCGCTCATGCGCGACCCTGAGATTAGGAACATAACCGAACTCAACCTAGATATCCATGAGCGGTGGCTATCGGATGAGGCCCGGAACTATACTCCCTGGCCGCGTCATGATGAACTTCAAAGAGCTGAGGCGGAAAAATTACTCAAAACTTGGGCCAAGGACGCAATATCAGTATTTTTGAAAAACACGAAGACAGCTCTTTCACGTGTGGAAGACCTCAGAGCAGTAGCGGCGCTGAGGAAAGAGCTCTTTGAAACGTGGCTGGCCTCAGGCAATAGGGTACCTGGGCTAAAGTCTTCGGCCGTGCTCGATGACCTACGAGATGTGATAAACGCGCAATTGAGCACAATAGTAAGCAAACGAGCTGGAGAACTTAAAAGGGTATCTTCCGCTATCGCAACAATACTGGAGCGATGGCCTGTTGACGAGACCAATACGAACACAAGCCTTTGGAACACGACAACGTCCTCGTTGGACATTGGCGCGGGTGCCGAAACATTCAAGAACGGCATCCTAACTAGAACCCATGGCAGAACGGAGCTCGTCCAACGAGTGGTAGCTGCCTATGAAACCTGGACCGGTCAGGTATTGGAAGTCAGAAGTATCCTCAAAGAGATGATAGACGTCCGGTGGGACAACGATCTCGGGGATGATTCTGCTGACTCCGACGATGAGTTTGGCCTTGACTCAAAGCAAGGCATTTTGAGCGAAGATGACCCTCGTAAGATTGACGAAGCGATGCAAGAGGCATTGTCAAAAGCGATGTCTGAATTACAAAAACGCGTGGAAGGCCTGATTACTGAACTGGCGGCTGATGCGCAAGTCGATGCGATGACGCAGGCCATATTCCTGGTTCGAGTTCTTCGAGAAATTACGGACCGTCATTCGCGGCTAGCCCTTCGAAGTCGTGGTAAAGATTCGGACTTTCGTCCGTTCAGCTCCAGCTTGATCGAACCATTGCATTTGATCGTCACAAACAACGTACTGAAATCTCCCCTCAGCACGTACAAAAGTAGACTCGACAAGTCGGCTTCTTCAAAGGTTACCCGAGGCCGGATACTATGGGAGGGGAACCCACAGCTGCCTGTGCAACCATCGCCGAGTACGTTCAGGTTCCTACACGACCTCAATCAAGAAATGGGGCGATATGGAGGCGACCTTTGGGCGCCGGGTGCTGTTCGAACCATTAAACGCGTCGGTAGTAAGAAGTTATGTGAAGTACTGAAAACTTCGGTTGATATGGTCACCTCTCGGCCAGTCTCTTCGCCTAGGGAAGAGACGACCACACCCACGCCCGACGAAAATGGGGTTGCAGTAGAGAACGTCGTGTACGCAGACACCGATGTGAAGAAGGACAAAGCCGTGCAGTTGCTCTTTGATATTCTCTATCTACAGCGCTGCGTTGGGTTATCTGATCACAGCATTCCTACGCAGGCGAATTTTGAACCGCTGCTGGACACGTTGTCGACTGCAGCGAGTCTTGATTCAGTCGCACGGGAGAAACTTGCGAAGAGCGCAACCGATTATCGGAAGAGAACTTATCTGCTCTTTGCGCTGCTATCGTAGAAAAATGAGACTTCATATTAGGTTTCCTATCTTGTCTTGGTTTGCCTTGCTTGCGTGCTTTGGTGGAGTATTGCAAACTCTTCAAATGAATATTGAGCACCAGCAACCCAACATAACGAGCAGCTCCTGACACCGCCTCATCGCCGCATTTCCGAAGCACGTTTTCCCCGTTTCGTGCAGGGTTTAAAAAAAATTCAAGATGTCCGGCGCCGAGGATCGAACTCGGGACTCCCACGCCCATTCCAGCTCGGCCTAGGGCCTTGCCCGGGGGGGTATTATAACCAACTAAACTACACCGGATTGACTGAGAGTGGAATTAAATAGTAAGAAGAAGTGATTGCAGAGAGACTTCACAAGCAGCCACGAGTTCTTTCGTGAATGAGTTTTATATCAAAGGAGTTCAGACGCCTATCTTCCTCTTGTCTACGGAATTTGTGGCCAACCAAAATACCTTTCCACTCTATTTTAAAAGTCATACGCAGGTGCACATGGACGAACACTTCATCTGCTTTACGCAACACCACAAAGCCAGCCCAGATGCTGTTCCAGGGCCAGGAACAAGCACTCCGACGATATGCTACCCCTCCGATTCTAATATGAAAGAAAATACCCTCGATGTCCGGGTCTCTTAGGCTAGCTTTAGCCATCCTTCGCAGAATTATATCTGCTCTAATAGCACTGACCAGTAGAAAAGGAATGTATTCCGACAAAGATATATCTCCATGCCCTGGGATACAATATTACAATACCATTTGCAAGCCAAAAAAGCAATGCTGGATATGTCCGGCGCCACGAATCGAACTTGGGTCTCCCCAGTAACTCATGATAAAGGCAGGGAATTCTACCACTAGACTACACTAGTTCAAAGACGACATGAAATAGAAATGGTAAGAGTAGCACAGTTCAAGGAAGTAAAAAAAAGTCTGTGAAATTACGATCAATAATAATCAGTGTGCGATACGCGGCGTTACGGCACAGCACCGCTCGCTTTGGCATTCAGTTCATTACTACACTTCAACACTACGACCGTTTAGATTACATCTATTGCTCCATCTCTTGACCAATTTATTCTCCTTTGTATCTTCAAGCAACCACATCCGTCTCTTCTTTTCTCTGCACACCCCGCTCCGTATCCTCTGACTTCTCTGGCACAGCCACTTGCTTCCCTTCCAAATTCTCCGGCAGCGCCCCATTCGCCCTCTCGCCAAACAGCAGATCAATCTCCTCGAGGCTCAGCCTCGTAGTCTCCTTGAAGAAGAAGAAGATCGTCGGGAACGTGACGCAGACGTTAAAAGCAGCAAAGACGAAATAAAACTTCCACTTGATAGCGCCCAGCCCCCTCGGACTAACTTGACTCCAAATAGTGGAGACAAGCCAGTTTCCGATACCGGTCGCGAAAGCGGACCCGCGCCCACGGATCTGGAATGGCATGATCTCGCTGGCGTAGACCCAGGAAATGGGGCCGAATGAGAAGCTGAAGATGGTGGTGACGCAGAAGAGGAAGAAGACGCCGGCGATGGAGAGGCTGTTTCTGCGCGCTCCTGTGGCGTGCTCGACTTGAGAACCGATGACTGCTTCGCAAACGAGAGCGATGGTGATGAGAACGGTTCCGATGAGGAGAGGTCGGCGACGACCCACGCGGTCGAGAAGCGTGGTGATGAAGATAAAGTTGCCGATTGGGCCGACGCAGTTGTAGATGCCGGTGACGAGAAGGCTACGACCGCCTGTTATTCCGAGGTTCTCGTACATGACTGTTTGGTAGTAGCCGATGACGTTGATTCTACGGAGGTGTTAGTGGAAAGCTGGGGGAGAGTGGTGCGAGGGAGAGCGTACCCAGTCATTTGAGTGAAGACTTGGACGAGCACCGCATGCGTTAGTCGTACCCGCCAGGGCCTGACTTTGAACATGATCAGCCAACCCGGCGCGGTGAGAGCTTTCTCAGCATCGATGGTGAGCTTGATTTCGTTGTATTCGGATTGAATCCAGTCGTCGTTGTGCCCGTCGTAGTGAAGTTTCCTTAGTACACGCATGGCTTCGTCGCCGCGATCTTTCTCCATCAACCACCTGGGAGATTCGGGCAAGAAGAAAAGACCTAGGACAAGGAGAACGCCGGGAATGGCCTGAAAGCCAAGAGGGAATCGCCACGAGAAAGCGCTGGTCTTGGGGACTTTGGACGAGCCGTAGCCGACCCAGGTGGACACGATGAAACCGACACCAATCATCTGTTGTGTAATACCGACGATGAGACCTATAGGTCGTTAGTGTGGTTCCAGCCCGCCAGGATGATTTGTAGTACCTCTAGTCTTTGGATGAGCACATTCGGATTGATACACAGGAACTGACATGGACATCAATCCGACAGCCCAGCCTGCGAAGATTCTGCCGACTAAGATCATTCCAAGATTGCGAGCACCGCACTGAAGACAGGCTCCAATAACGTTGATAGCAGCTCCTATCTGCACCGTCCGTCTTCTTCCTAACCGATCCATCGTAAACCCTCCCCTGGTATCGTCAGCTCCAAGAACTTCGCGAGGTAGGCAATATATATTACTCACATCAACGACCCGAACACCGCACCACCACTAAACGTCGAATTTATTGCCCCGATAATATCAGAATTTGGGTTTGTGTTGAAGAACCACAGAAAATGTGGCGATTGGATGACATCTGTCATGACACCAGAGTCATATCCGAAGAGGAATGCCCCGGTGCCTGCAAATATGGCTAGGAGGATATTGAATGCTAGCCCCATAATTGATAGCTCTTGTGGTCAATGAGACTTGAAAGATGAGTGGAGAAAGCTCCTGCACCGAGGAAACGGGCCTAGATATAGCCCTGAGCACACCGCCCCAGAAAAGCTTTCTCGAGCCGCGGAACATCACGCTGCCTACCGGGCGCCCGGCACGACTCTTCCATTCCATCTCTCACGAGCCGGGTCTCGCGAGAAGCGAGGAGGAGGTTGTGACCATGTCATGCCATGATTGGAGAACCCCGGCGTACACTAGGCCGCAGCTCAGGCTAAAGTCGAGTCAGACCTGGGGAAGCGTTACGGGATGCGGCAGGGCAGACCTGGAAAACGGTTAATGGGAATGTGGGGTGAGGAGGTCCCGGATTTGTTTTGTCGCGAGATGTTTGCAAAGTGATCGGCGAAGGGGTTGGAGCGGAGACAGGGGAATCCTATTTCCAGCAATCAGAGGAGGTGTGAGATGCTTGGCACCCAACTTCAATTCTCTCTTCAATGACACTTCATCCAAAACCTTCCTGAATATTTCGAAAAGTGTGGATTTTGCATCTTGCAACAAAGTGGGAAGATTCATGAAAACGTGAGAAAATGGGATGCAATCACGCGCTCTTGAGCGATTTACAGCAGGCCCTCCTCGTACGTCCGGTGGCCTAGTCTAGATGTGAGGCCACGAGCTCACGATGCAGAACTAGAGCGCGGGGCCGGGAGCATGGCCTATTCTTGGACTGAAGATTAACGTTGCCGGCTAAATCTGCTACAGGCACGATTTTGAAAGCGTCCATTTCGCTTATATTGCCCCTATTGGACAAACATTTTATGGCATGATTCCCGTGCTAGGCCAATGGACGTGTAAGGGTCCTGTATCACGAGAAAAGAAAAAGCTTCGACACACGTTACCTACTACCGGGTTCTCGGATAATGTCGTTATTCACGCTATTGCTCTTCAAGATTACACTTTTCTAGCCGAGGTGTCCTCGTGCACCCCCCGAGGAATTTGAAAATCTAAAGGTGATATCCAGTTTCAAGTATTGTAGATTCGACTGCCATTTGAATACTAGCTCCTTAGCAGCCAAGATACCCCCTACAGTGGTGTCAAGTGAGCAATATTGAAGCTAATTAGTGACAGATCTGTGTGCACAGATTCATAGCTTGGTACTGTATAGTGACAGGCCATGAGTCTGTGCACACTACTTCGGCTCTGCTTGGGGCATCCCCCAAGGACTTCGATGATCCAAAGGCGATGCCGAGTTTCAAGCAGTGCAGATTAGACTGCCTCTTGACTAATGAGCTCATTAAAAGCTAGGTTACCCCTATAGTGGTGTCTAGTGAGCAACACTGAAGCCAAGCAGTGCCAAATCTGTGTGCTTATACGTATGGCCTATCACCGTGCAACACGGCGACACGATAGAGTTATGCAGCCCTATCATTGATTCAATCATGGAAGAATCGATCAATGAATTATGCAACCTATTCCATGCTAAACTTGTCGGCTAGCTCCTCAAATATCCACCCAACGCAATTGAACATACTGAACCAAACCCATGCACATCAGCCCCAGGAGCCACATACTAATAGCCATAAGCCCCCTTCCCCAGTCTCTCAAAGCCCCATCCACCCACCTCACCACATTACCGAAGCCCAGCGCCAGAACCAACGACGCAACCGCTACAAACGAAGTAAAGAGACTCTCATACACCCTCAATCGCCTCAGAGCCCAGCCCTCCAGATCCCGCGCCACCATTCCCTCCTGAATCTGCCTCAACCCCTGTATGATCTCCCCAATCTCTCTCATCTCCCTCAAACGTTCATTCGCATGGTCCACCTGCTGTCGCTGCTGTCCCAGAACCTCTTGCTCCCGAGCGAGTTCCTGCTCTCTCCTCTGCCTCTCCACGTCCTCGTCCATCAGGCGTCGCAGTCGCTGTCGTTCTCTAGCCGCTCGCTCCCGAACTCCGTCAAACCCGTCCTCTACCCTCTGCCTCACCGGTTCCGCCTCCCTCAGATCTCCAATCTCTTGTCGTTGTGCTTGCACCTCCTGCTCCTGATCCCCTCCCTGCTCCACCCCTACCCTCTCCTCCTCCGCATCCATCGCCTCTCGCAATACCAGCAGCTGATCCAACAGTCCGCGAACCCGCCTCTGCGCCCCCTCGTCCGCACCACCAGGGCGCTGCAACCGCTGCTCCATCCGCAGCTCCGCGACGTCCGCATCAAGCCCTTCCCGCAAACGCTGCTGATTGACACCCAGCTCCAACAACTCCCGCAACTCCTCCATATTCCGCGGCGGCCACTGCACACGCGGCCGTACCACCACCCCCTCCCCGGCAAGCGCCGGAGCCCGGCGAGGGTTCGCGTTCCCCTCAGGTGCGAATAGCACGACGCGGCAGAACATGCAGCGGTTCGGGCGCGCGGGGGTGTCGAGCCAGCGCCGGAGGCAGGGCTCGCCGAAGATGTGGTTGCAGGGGAGGATGCGGACGGCGTTGTGGGGGATGGGGTGTTGCTGGAGGAGGGCTTCGGGGGGTGGGATGGCGGCGGCGGGGTCGGGGGTGTATTCTTCGTGGCAGATGGGGCAGGTGGGCCCGCGGAAGGGGTCGGTTGGGAGGGAGGGTTGGAGCATGTGGGCGAGGAAGTGGGTTTTGGAGGGGAGGGCGGGGGGTGGGATGAGTGGGGCGGCCATTTGGGGTTGTAGGGGTGCTTTGTGGGACTGGGGGGTGCGGTTGATGATGGAAGTTCTGGGGGTGGTAGGGGTTGAGGCGTGGGCTTTTGTAGGTAGGGCTTTCTGTGGGCATGTGAAGTCTGCGGTAGACGACGAAAGCTGTGGAGAAGATGAGGCTCTGAGGTATGAGAGATTATGAAGGCGGAAATGTTGTTGATGTAGATGTGAAGAAGAGACACTAATGCTGCTGGATTCGGGAATGACGTGTCCATACTGATGTTGGCGTGCCTTATCTTCACGGTGGTGAGCATAAAATGTACTCGCGGAACCATGAAAGATGATGGCAGCCATCAGTAGGGCGTAGCGTTCACGTGGCTCTATCAAGAGTGAAGGCGCAAAAGCCGTTTGTGGTTGGAAAAAGACTACCTCCTGAAGTAACCGAAAAAGACTGCCCCCCAAGTGCCTTGCT